AATAAAGAATAAAAGGTGAATCAAATGGACCATTACGGCAAAGCTGGGATGGTCAATTTGGTAAAGAAAATCCGTTGGGCATCTTTCTTCGCCTTTAGACAATAATTCTGATGGCAAAAGAGCCAAACGGGACAGGCAAGAAAAAAAAAAGAAAAAAAAAAAGAGATGATCCTAGTGGTTTGGCTGGGATGCTTCTATCCACATTGCAATGTGTTTATTACACCCTTTTCAAAACGCTCAATGGGTGTGTTGCAGGTTATTGTCAAAATTTCCACAACAAAGTCCCAGTCATGAAGACCTACAGAGACGGTTGGCAAACCCCCTAGCTAGGGCAAAATGTATATTTCCCAACCCCCTATGAATTAGGTTTTTAGATTCATTTATTGGTTTCTGTAAAGAGTGGTCAGTTTCTATAGACCAGAGAATGGAGCTTTACTTTGTCTCAGGTAGTTGGCCTAAATGTCTGAAATTCAGTATAATCCTTACCTGAACCACATCAGCTGCTTCTTCATGCTCCTGTTCACACTGCAGATAAAAGTGCAAAGCAGTGTTTAATATTAAGCTCTTAAACATGTATTACAATTGTATTTGTCATATGGACATTTAAAAACTTTTCCCTTCACATTTACTTACTTGAACAGAATTGACTGTTTCCCGATTTGAGTTTTGTTCTTCCTACAACAGTAAAAACAGTTCAAATCTATATTAGTTAAGAATTAATAAAATCACTCTACAAATAATTACTGCCAGTGAGACGCTGTCGAACACCAGTGGGTCACTTCGTGTTCACTCTCCACGGTAGACTATCACTTCTTGTTCCAACGCACAGTGGTATTTTTGTGTAGCTTATCTGCTTAGCCAATTTAATTCAAAACGTATAGATAGCAGATTTCATAGTGTTATCTTCATGCACTCTGTGTATTCACTCACTAATTCTAGTCACAGTATTCACTCACTGTGCCATCAGGGATTCGCTAGCTTAGCTTGGCCTGTAGCCAACTCACTAGCAGCATGGCCCTTTCACCTGTACCTCCTGCACTTTCTTGCTCATTGTGTCAGATTACTTTTGTTACTTTTGTGTTTAGTTACTCCTCAGCCTCCTTTAGCAATAATGATACTTGTAATAAATGTAGCCTATTTGCAGCTCTGGAGGCCAGGATCACAGAATTGGAGACTCTGCTTCGCACCCTTAAAAATCCCATAGCTAGCAAGGCGCCTTTAGCCCGTGCAGCCAAAGGTAGCGTAGGCCCCGTTAGCTCCCTCTGGCAGATTGTCCCAAGCAGCTGGGGAAACAAGATGACTGGGTGATGATGAGGAAGCATAGTATTAAACAGAAGCCCCTGGCACACCACCAACCCGTCCATGTGTCTAACTGTTTTTCCCTACTTTTCGAAACACCTGCCAGGCCCTCGAGGCCTGGAGTTGTCCACCCCTGCCCTATAGGCAACAGAATGGAGTTTTACTTAGGCTACGTTCACACTACAGGTCTTAATGCTCAATTCCAATTTTTGGATCAAATCCAATTTTTTTTTGTCTGGTTGTTCATACTAAAAATAAAATGTGACAGCAAACGCGCTCTAGTGTGAAAAGTTCACGGCCCTCAAAGAGGCCCACATGTGCAAAAGAAGACGTCACACACAACACGCTCTGTTTATGGAAGTAAAAATGACGGCTACAGAGCTAGTAGGTGTTGCTGCAGCAGTCTATCAATTTATGCACAGTAGTAACTGACAGAATTTTCACAAATTAAATAGAGAAAAAAGAGAGGCCGTCGCTGATAATTGGCGTCTGTCTTGTGTCAGTGACGTAAAAGATGGTTTTAATGCGACATGGCCATTCAAACAGCAGTTGCTTTCTAATACATCCGATATGTATCGGATTCAGTACCACATACGAAAGTGACCAGGTCGGATTTGAAAATATCGGATTTGTGCTGTTCAAACTGTCATACCACGATCGGATATGGGTTGCATAGGGTCAAAAAAGTCGGATTTGATGCGCTTTCGCCTGCAGTGTGAACGTAGCTTTTGTCTCAGGCAGTTGGCTCATTAGTCTGAGATTCAGTATAATCTTTACCTGAACCAAATCAGCTGCTTCTTCATGCTCCTGTTTACAATGCAGATAAAAAAAGTGTTAAGCTGAATACAATACTGAGCACTTAAACATGTATTAAAAATTGTATTTGTTGTGTAGATACTAAATCTCAAGGAAACATAACAGTTTGTAACTTAGTTGAAAAGAAATTACTGTTTCTTGATTTGTGTTTATTTCTTCCTAGCACAACGAAAACATTTCAGTTTTAGTAAAGAATTAACAAAAATGACACTACATATTAGTACTGCCAGTACATTTTCAATATTCTGATAATTCTAACAAAAGTTCGCCTCCAAACACTCAAATAAAAATGTTGTTAAAAAACTTAATTACCTTTAACAGCTTGAGGTTCTTCTTGAATTTCACTCTTGGTCCAGCTTTTGGGATCAAATTATCAATTTCTCGATCATCAAGGACACGCAGACTTTCTGCATCGATTTGTTCATCTGTAATTAAAAATAAAGTTGCAGAGATAAAGAATATTCTCAACTTGCATTAGAAATTCTTGTTCAATGAGTGACAAAGCAATGGGCACAGTTATATGAGCTGTTTCACAGTTAACAGATCACATCATGATCAATATCTGTACCCATCACGGATTCACGTTAATACTTTACCTTCAAATTTCTTCACCCACTCACTTAGTCCCCATTCAGCCAGTTTGGTTCTTACGAAATCATCCATGACAAGGAAGTGAAACTGTAAGATAAACTGTGATGTTTAACCAGACAGTACTGCTTTACAGGTTAGACATGTGTGATCAACCTCTCCTTTAATGCACATATAATCAGAGACACTGATATTAAATTCAGATTAAAAGTTCAACAGTTCACCTTTTGTTAGAAGTAATGCAGGAAAAGGCTGCTGAGGGAGATGTGAAGTAAGCAGTGAGACACAGACAGAAAACAGGCAGGAAGAAAGCAAAAAGTCTGAAAACAGATTAAAAACAGGTTAAAAACAAACTGGAACTGTGTGGCTCAGACTGCACAATTGCAGATGCATTTAATAGAAAGGTAAATCCAACATGAATAAAGTGGATGCAGGGTAAAGCAGAACTGAGAACAGAGAAGAGCAGGAAGAGGTGGTGTTTGTGCAGGCTAGATGGAAGTGGCTGAGAGAGGGGGCTAACAACCTCCCCAGACCAATATAATCCAATAGTAAGGTAGTAACTCTATACTGAGTCCTTCAATTTCTTGACATTGTAATCCAACACAGCACAAATAGAGAATTAATGTAGTTGGAAAGAAAGGCACTTTTGTGCTATTTTAATCACATAATCATATGATTATGTAATTAAAATAGCACAAACGTGCTAAACTACATTTATTCTCTCTATTGACACGGCCCAAAGAAGTGCAAGTTCCTGCCTGGATGTGCCAATCCTCTGCTCTCTCATTACTCTCAAGATCAGTATTAGAAATTTGCATTATCTCGGAGTAGATTAATTAGTTAAGTATATTAAGTATATTAAGTGATTATTATTATTTAATACATCCTTTGCTTTGCTCCTGCTAAATAGCTTTAACAAAATATCCTGCATTCAAAAAGTCTAAAGTAAAGAGCACAGAAAAAGTGGTTGTATGAATGGGCGTGAATGGGGCAAGTTGTCTAAAGCCCAACTTACGATGGGCAGCAACAGTACCAACTGAACATAATGTCACTAGAAACAGAATAAAAAAATATTTCTGACACAATACTTAAAGACTGAGTCTGAGTTTGATAGAAAAATATTTACAGTTTAAAAACAAATATAAACAGTTCAGCTAATATGACACTTTTGGTTCAATCCTTTTTTTCTTCTTCTGTTCTAAGACCTCCACCCATTTTGTGGATGAAAGAGTTATTTTTGCCACAGAACATCTGATATGATTTTCTTGGCTGTGTTGACATTGAGTTCCAGTTTATACTGTTTATTCTTGTGCTCTGTGTGCAGCTGGGTTTGCTAGTTCAGAGACTTTATAGAGTTTCTATTATTAGAACGTGACAAGAGGAATGCAACGTATACTTTATCTCTTACACCCTAAACCTCCCCACCCCCAACTTCCTGGCGCATCCCACGGCTCTGGAGAATGTACAAAATGTTTGCATTGGACTGCAGAACAATGTTGCAGCACTTTTAGTAAAAGATTTTATGTTTCACAGTTAACAGATCACATCAGTATCAATTTCTGTACCCATCACGGACGCATTTCAATACTTCACCTTCAAATCTCTCCAGCCACTTACTTAGGCCCAATTTTTTTCGCACATAATTATCCATATGCAAGAAACTAAAACTAAAAGATAAACTGTAATATTTCATTTTAAAAGTACTGCTTGAAAATTAGGCCTTTGTAATCAACTGCTCCTTAAATGCATTGACTCTGATTCTATATTCTGATAAACTTTTATTCAATTCAGATTAAAAGTTTAAACTACTTACCTTTGGTTTAAAGTAATGCAGAAAAAGACAGTTGACAATAAGAGAAGTAAATTAAAAAAAAATGCAGGGAGGCACACACTGGAACAGAGTGAAAAGAAAAATCTATCAAAAAGTAAAAGTCCAAAAACAAAACACGGTTTTGCAAAAGGTGTAGTTGACTGTTTGGCAATAGGCAAGTGAACGTGGATCTCTACATACAATACAACGCTAAATCTAGACAGAGTAAAGTGGGTGTGCAGGGAAAAGCAGAACTGAGAAAACAAAAAAGGGGGTGGGGGAGACGCAGAAGAGGTGTTGATGCATGTAGAAAGCGGTTTTGTTTGGTGTCAAACAAATCGAATGGATTAAAGTTTACAGATTATTACAGATTACAAACAAAAGACAAGAAATAAGAACACTGTCTTATATATTTATATAGCAAAAATAGTGATAAAATCGCACAATTATGACCCCTTTTCTAAGCTTCATTATGTACTAACAAACAGAGGCGTCATAAGGATGAGAAAAGTGATAACATGAGCGCTAGAAAACAGTAAACCGTCAATTACTTTTAAAAAATATTATTAACCTATTAGAATAAAGGGATTTTTGTTTCATAAGGTACGTGTTGGGGGCGTTACAGGAGACAATTTCGTTTTGTTCTGGCAGCAAATAATGAAATCGAGTCAGCGTTTAACATTGCTCCCCCCCCTTATTTCTTGATTTGGTTCGGTCCAGTGCGCCAGGCTGAGCGCGCTGGAGCACTAACGGATCCGGTGTTTCATAAAAAAGGGAGAGAGAGAGCGATGGAAATAAAAAGAAGATAGCGAAGTCCATATGAAAGAAACTGCGCGAAATTCCTGGTATTTGTATTGTGTCATATTGTCGGTTTATTTTTGGTTTTCCAAAAGAAAAGAAAAACCAAAAAATAATGATTATTAAAAAACAAAATAAAAACAAAAGCATAGCACAAGTTTTTTTTAATCCCACTCTCTTTCCACTAGTTGGTTACTAACAGTCAGCACTTTTTCTTCCTGTTTATCAATCATAAATTCTTCCTTACAATTTGTTACATGTATTTGCTTTTATAACCCCAGTAACGCATGTAAAATCTAAAAAATACAAAGCAATGATAGGAACAAAGCATGATGATAAAGAGAAAGAGAAAAGTAAGGAAGCATAATTAAACAACTGGAACTACTGTAATCACAGGAAACTATTCTGTTTACCTGGGAGTAAGCACTCCTCAGCCTTGAATGTTAAGTGGATTCCATCATGGTTTTCTCCGGCGACTTCAGGATGTGTACCTAATTTAAAACTGTAATCATTTATTATTAGATCAAAATATTGCTTTTGAATCAAACATGACTTCTTCAGATGTGTATTTAGAAGCTTCTCATACTGAATACTGAAATATTAATAGTAACGTACAGTTTCGTATAGACCTATTCCACTAACACAGAGTAAAATGGGTTTAAGTGAAATTGTGGCTAAAAAGCACATGTGTAACAAAATAATGTTAATATTTCTTTATAAAACATGACAAACCATCAAATCAGGCAACTCTGCCAACATGGTATTTTTTGCCTCTTCAAACATGTCCTTCTTTGAGTGCACATGGAATTCAATAGTCTCCCTCATGTTGTCCAGCACGCCTTCTCCACTAAATACTGCAACATCTACAATAACAAATAAAGCTCCAATCAGATTTCTCTTGGTGAATAATGATAAATGTGGCACACCCAAAATACATGGCCAGTTTTGTGTTAATCATTTAATGTAATTTATTTAATTTGTTTATTTGTGATTTTCTGTGACTATGAATATTCACAATGACTTTGGAAACATGACCAATTTATGCAGTATATTATTTTGTCACATGGACTGTACAGAAGGACAGAAAAATGGAGCAACACCTCAGGTGGAACTATTATGTCAAGGCAGGTGCACCCCAGTTGCTTTAGGGGGATGGACGTCCGCCCACTATTCAGATGTATTTGCAAGTTAGTACTTTGTAAAAAAAATACTA